TCTGGGATCACCTGCGGAGGGCGGCAGGACGTAAATACTACGTAACGTTGGACATGAATTCGGGCTTCTGGAACGTGCCTATCGAGAAGGGGTGTAAGCACCTCACGGCGTTCATAACTCCGATAGGCCTGTTCGAATTCAATGTCGTACCCTTCGGGATCAAGAACTCGCCCGCCGGGTTCCAGCGAGCAATGGACACCTGCTTCGCCCCCATGCTGAGTGACGACGTCTTCTGCTACATTGACGACGTCACCATATGCGGAAATGACCCAAGGGAGATCCTAGAGCAGCTGAGGACCTTCCTGGGCCTGTGCAGGGGCACCGGGTTCTACCTGCGGTTGGACAAGAGTGAATGGTTCAAGCCCGAAGTAGCATACCTAGGTCACTGGGTGGGTAGCGACGGAATACGAGTACAGGCGAAGAAGGTGGGGTGGATGCCATTCGGAAGCCCCCGCCCCGAGGTCAAGGAAAGAGCTGCAGTCATTCCTGGGCCTGGCGGGGTACCTCCGTAACTTCATCCCTAATTATTCTGCCCTTGTAGCTTGTATGTTCGCAATGATGAAAAAGGACAGGCGGTTCGAATGGACGGAAGAATGTCAGGCCGCATTCGAGGAATTGAAGGAGGCAGTAGCCCACTCGGCCACATTGTATCCTCTGCGTCACAGATAGGTGCAAGAGCTACCTTGATGCAAGTCCAGGAGGGGAAGGAAGTCCCCATAGAATACGCTAGCAAGAAGTTCTCGGACACGAAGCGATGGGATACAAGGGGTCTTGTCGCCCCCGACCTTCACTTGGAACCTACCGCTCCTATTGGTCTCGACGCGGTGTGCAGGTCGCCCGTAGGCGTCGGATATGAAGCGCACCCTGCACTTTCGCGCGAAGTGCCCTCTTACGCCGCAGTTGTGGCAGGTGTACTCCTTGTACGGGCAGTGCTTGGCGTAGTGCGCCCCGTCGCACACGCCGCAGCAGGGCGACGTCGCCACCTCCCCTTCCTCTTGTTCCTCGCCGGTCATGCCCTGGTCGCCTGCCGTGGCGAACACAGGTATGCCCGACCGCTTCGCGTTGCCGTGCAGTTCCGTGAGGACCTCCAGGAGGGGCCTGCCGCGTTCCGTATCCCTGAACCTACGGCAGTACGCCTCGGAGTTAGCACTGAGGATCCTGCCTCGTAGGGTCTTCGCCGTCAGCTGCGGGTAGTGCTCCCAGCGTGCCATCAGCCGCACTAGGCGATAGAGCCCAGCTCTCAGCTTGATGGGGAGTTGCGGGAGATCCGAGGGGGCAAAGTTGAGGGTTTCCGCGAAGTGGTCGTCAGCGTAGGTGCTGAACGGGAACAACGTCCGGGCTACCTTGGACAGGAAGGCCTCGGCCACCTGCGTCTCTTCATCCGTAAGGAGCGCGGTTATGTGCTTCAGGTGGGCGGGCAGCGCGCCGAGGAGGATCGTGACCAGGGAGGGCTCATGCGTCTCCAGCGACTGCTGCGCGATTATCTGGGCGACTTGGTCTACCCGGTCCTCGAACTCGCGCTCGTCGGTCGCAGTGAACTCGGGCAGTAGCGGGCGCGTGACCCGCTCGACCCACTGGTTTATCCTTTTCTCCGTGTCCATTTCCACCGGCTTCGCAAACCGGCCGACGTACATGTGCCCAATAGCGGCATCAATCGATCCAGCAGCTGTCGCCAACTTGCTCTGGTAAGGATTGATGATGCCCGGGTAGCGTCTACTTGATTACTGGGCATGTCGCTGGCTCGAACCGGGGTTACTGACTCTAAAGCACTACTCATGGTCTACGCTTACTTCCCTGTTTTTGCCAAAAAACTAAACACCAACTCTATTCACGGTACCGGGATTCCTTATCAACCAGGCCCGGACT